AAAGTTACATACATTATGCATGAACTTCTAACATGTAAATTGATAAAGACATGTAAGCTATAAAGTGAGGGTTAGAAATGAAAATGAAAAAATATATAATTTCCATCAAAATATAATATACACTCTGTAAATTTTTGTCTGTTAAATGAGAAATTTGCTCATCTATCAATGTGTACCAATATTTTGGGTCAATGACTTGGGAAGTATTATGAAAACATTTTGAGAGAAAAGTGGTACAAAGGGTTATCAAATGAGCATTGAATTAGTACAGCAACAGGAAAGGGCTCTGAAATAGCTGTAAGCTTTGTTTCAAGCAGTCCTGCCACTGGGCCAAATGATTACCTCTGTAAATCGGAATCAACTTCCACATATTAGAGGTGGGAAGATGTGGGATTTGTGGCAAACTCCAGTGGGAAAATTACAATGAAGTTTCCAATTTCTGGATCAGGTTAATGTCACAGGCAGGGCAGAACAGCATACCTTTTTCTTAAAGCCCTGGTATACTACTGAGCCTTTTCAAGGAAGGAATGACAGCCAGGTAATCGTGACTGGACCATATAGCCATGTCACCTGGCTTCTGAACAAAGAATGGATAATTTTCCCTCTAGAATGCCTCATCCAGTTGATTAAGAATTTCTGGAGCCTGCAGCATAGTTTAATTATACAATTTGGTCAATTCTGCTTCCTTCAACTTCTTTTAATTAATATCTATCCTTAATAAACAGCTTGAGTCTTAGTCTTCATTAAAATTTATTTTTGTAGGTACATATTTATTTAAGGAGAGTACATAATGGTTTCACCTTATTAAAGACACACTTACAAATTCTAAAAAATAATTCCTTTCCTTCTCTCCTCTATACCAAATTTCAAAATTCTATCCACTCTAATAAACTTTTGGCACTTGAAATACTGAGATTAACAAGGCAGTCCTAAATCCGATAGTGGAAATTATATGCTAGGAGGGATGATAGATAAGAGAATTATAATAACTATACAATGATATGACATGACATTCAAATTATACAGCATAATATAACATAAGAAATATGTTCTCACCTGTCACTCACAAATCATGGGGAAAAACAATTTTAGCATGACAGCATTTCAACAAATTAAAAGTAGTGGAAGCATATGGTAAGTGGTTCAGGGTAAAAGGCTAATTCTGGGCAGTGTTGAAGGACATAAGGCTTTCTGATGGGTAATATGTGCTTAACACTGAAATATCTTTTTAAAGGACATACTGATTTTATAAAACCATGGTCACTAAAAGAAAATATGTATGTAAGGTAGAAAGTTTAAGTCAAAAACTGTGTTACAAGCCCCAACAATCAAATCATTGCCTTCAACTTATATTAAACATAATTAGGAATACACATGATCTTTCATATTTTATAAACAAATAATTTGTTACTCTCAATATTTTATCATATCCTTAGAAAAATTGTACATCTTTTTGATAAAGACAGAGTAATGTCACCCACACATATTCTAGATCCTTAAGTGTGGTCCACATGGAGCTAGTTATTCAGTTTGTCTCTGTGACTATAGATTGTATTTGTGTTTTTCATTTGATCATATATTGTTTTTCCTCTTAAATGCAAATGCCTTTTATTTTTTCCTCTCGCCTTAATGCAGCATAAGAAAGATTTTCTTTATTTTTTAATTGTTGTGCTGGGGATACATTGTGACATTTATAAAAGTTCTTGCAATATATCATACTTGAATTCACCCCCTACATCTACTTATACTCATGTCTGTAATCCATATATGGAGGCTATATCAACAAACACTTAAAAATATGGTTTTCTTTAACACATGGGGTTTGTATAAAAAATGAAATCACACGATAATCTGAGATATAAAGTTTTGCAGATATAAATTCTGCAAACTATAAGTCAAATTATAAAGGTACAGTTCATCTTACATAAAATGCGTAGCATTAGACACAAAATAGGAAGCTGCATGGAACACTGAACAGCTGTACTCTTATTGTGCAATAATTTTCAGCTAGAACAATTCAAAAGGAGAAAAAAGAAACATCAAATTCTAAACAGTTGGGAAAATGCCAGCCACATCATGCATGTGAATAAGAAGAGGCTGCATGCATCTAAAAAAAAACCACAGCCCCCATGCACACAGTTCACCTGTTATTTTATACGAGCAGAGGACTAGAGGGAGAATAAAAGTCCTTCGTTGGACTAGTGAACTGTCTACCTAGAAGATGTCTCAGTCATACCTCTTGCCTCTTAGTAAGAGAAGATAGTTCAAAACGATGAATAGAATTTATAGGATGTTTTGGCACAAGGGGCAGAACATCACATTTGAATTTTTATTTGCATTTGCATTTATTTTCGCAGATTATCTGTCTTCTGTGCTTTGTAAAAATGTTTGGGAAAAGAAAACTACAAAAAAAGATTAGCTGTGAAGCAATCTATATTCTTACTCTCTAGCTTAGTAAGGATGTGAAAGATGTCTCTGGACCAAGTAGAAATAGCATAAGGTTTTATAACAGCAACACATAAGTCAGAACCTGATGAAGAAAAGGATGTATAAGAAGGTCAAGTTAAGCACCATTCCATGTAATGAAACTTTGCCTTCTATAATTGTTGTGACTCCCACCTGCATCACCAAGTCAGGTAGTTAAAATTCCTGTCTTACAGAGAGCATGGAAGACAGAAACAATCTAAAGAACCATAGCATCAAAAAAAGTATTAACTCACCAAAGGAATCTGTGGTTCATGAGACCTCAAACCTCCCCATGACTAGCTGTCATAGGGGTCAAAGAAGATGTGAGTGATAAATTAGACATAAATTTTAAGCTGTGCATGATTCAGTTAGACTATATTTGAATATAACTACAAATCTATAGTGTCTCTTAAATGCCTTAATAACAAAAAGAGAGACTGAAAAAGAAAGGCTTACAATAGTAATTGGATTAAGAAATGTTTGTGCTACACTGATTTATGATTATGCAGTGATTGGATTACACAATCACACCCTGACTTAAGGTTCTTGTTAACATATGCAGAAATGAAGAGTCAATCATGAGACAGAAATAAAACGTATTGGTGCAGATATCTCCTCAAATGAAAGTTATAAAGCCCCATTCTCAGGGGCTTTGAAGGTTTTGTTCTCATTGGTGAAATTTAAAAGCCAAAATTCTGAGTCCATTAAATATCCTACTCATGACATTTTCCTTCCCCATAGTTTAGATTCACCAAGAAAGTTTCTGATGCAAATTTTTTACATCATATAGGAATGTGGAAGAAAATCACATAATATAGACTCTGAATGTTTGAATTTTGAGACAATGATTTATCATTGGAAATTAACAAATGGGCTTTCATATTATAAACAACTCATAAACATAGAAATCAGTTTCTGACATGGCATACAACATTGGATTCTTGAACCTGATCAACTTGACTGGTCTAAAGCCATTAAAAATTCTCCATAGTGTTGTCACCTTGTAACAAGTCTTGGGAAAGTCTATGAACCTTCTACCCAGTGAAGTGGGATAGATTGGGCTGGGTTGCACTGTTCTGGAATATTTAATTTCTAACATATACAGACTGAATTATACTTTTCTTCCTGATTGTGTTTAAGCACCTCCTTTTAGCATGCTACTTCTTATTGCAGGGTAAGAAGTACTTTATTTTCTTGTTTTGTCATTCGACAACCACCTCCTTTGTTTTGTCTGTGTTAAAAAATTTAAACACTAAAAAGCATGTTATTTCTTCTTTCAGGAAAATTTGACTCTACTCACCCACTTCTTAGCACAAGTTTTACTAATCTCTCCTGAGATGCAAAGCATGTACAAAAATGATTTCAACTATCAGACATACATACATCATCACTAAAAAAAAAAGACTAGAAAAAAAGAAAAAAAACAACAAAAATCATGAGAACTCACCTGTTTGAGAACATTATATGAAATATGTGATAAATCAATAATTTGTTGATTAACATTTCCAATATTTTTATCAAAAAAGTTGATCACTGTTAATTATTTTTATTTATAATAAAGTTACTTAGTGGAAATTGAAAAAACAGATATAAACATAAGTGATATTTAAACAATTTGATTTGCTTTCTCTCCATGTTTACTGGAATTGGTCACCCATCTCAGGAATGTTCAGGCCCCACACTGAACCCTACATCATAAATGTTTGGGGAAGGGCAGATTCCTCATGGGAAGAACAGAACAGATCAATAATTTCCTCACTATTTTATACATTCATTTGGAAGACCTAATAATGTAGGTGTGTCCTAAACAATGGGCTTAAACAATTGTAATTTTTTATTATATGTTACAGTTTTTCCTCCTCATGATGAGAAATAAAACCACCATTTTATAACACTGAGAAATTCTAAAAGAGTGAAAAAAGTTTATGTAGATTTTTTAACTTGCAAGAATTAGCTCCTTCTAGTTCTCAAAATGGAATGACTTGCAATAAAAACTTGAATTTTCAAAACATAATTTTGAAACATTTTAATAGATTGAAATGTTTTTAGAATTCATAAATGTATACATGTGTCACCTATATCACACAGTATTACTTTCATACCTCCTTCTGGAAATACGAATAAATTAGACGTAAACACACATTTCATAATATTCAGCATCAAATCTAACATGTAAGCAATTGTCTTTCCACCAAAAAATTAAAAGTAAAAATTTATTCTAGAATAAAACTTCAGTGATTCTATTAAGGATGGAGGGAAGAGGATGTAGCTCAGTGGTAGGCAGCTAGTCTGGCATGCACAAGGATGTGGGTTTAGTCCCAGCATATCAGAAAGTGAAATGAATAATCAAACAAAAAATATGGAAATTTATTCACTTTGTAATAAACTTCTTCTTAAGGAAAGAAGGGCATTAGATGTGTCTTCCCAACACCACTGCAATGAATGAAAAAATGTTGAAGGAAAATAATAAAATAATCACATGTATATTGAATATCATGTGAACTAGTCAATATATGCTGGAATCATTGACTCACTTTGAATTCCATGGGAGCGTACTATTTTCCAGGTTTCTGATGCCACTTCTTTGACATCCACTTGATAGTGATGAATGGGAACACCTCCATGGGAGTCTGGTTTGTTGAAAGATACCTTGGCTGTGGTCTGTGACAACTCTATAACCTTCACTCCATGGGGATTGGATGGCACGTCTACAAAGGAACAAATGCACATAAAACACAACCAGGTAACGAAAACAACCATTATTAAGACTTATGCTTTATGAGAATAAGGAATAAAGGACAATTGCTGTGTAAATCACTTAATGTGCTTGTATTACAAAGCTTGGACTAAGACATAAACAAGCTACTCAAATTGCAATAAAGAATGCTCTATTCAATTTCTATCACCACAGCAAGTAACACTAAAAATTCAGCAAATAAACTACAAAATATAAGTTTATTGAGGAAATATTTTAATTCTTCATTTTCTATAAGTATGAATATTTTACTGAGGTAAAGGAACGCCAGATGCTGCTGCTGCTCTGTGTGTGTGTGTGAGAGAGAGAGAGAGAGAGAGAGAGAGATAACGGGGGTTATTAAAATGTAAGAATGAATAAATCTGTTATTTGGTCATTTCCACAAATAATTTGCTGTAATATGTATTTTATTTTCCTTTATTAAAATTGTATAACTAGTGCTTTTGGAGAGCTGTTCAGAGAATGTTACTATTCTGACCTTAAATACTATAACTGACCTGTTCTAACATCATTTATACCTCATTTAAATCAAAATGGCATTCAGTTGAGATATTGAATTCTCAATTCTTTAAAAAAATAGCTACAAAATCTTTCTTGAGTCAGTTTTTGTATAAAAACTAACATATTTCAAGTTCAAAGTGATATCATAGATGGAAATGCATTTTAGTTTCTACTATATAAGACTTCTTTATAAAGAATTATTTCTAAGGAAAAACAACTAGGAAAAGAAAATGAGAAAGAAAAAATATTCTCAGCAAGGAGATTATTGATTCTGTATTACAGTTCTTCCAGGTTTAGAGAACATTAAACATTAAGGGAATTTATCTTGGTGTCTTTCTCTGTCTTCCATAGAGATATAAATGAAATAATGTTAAACTTTGGAAAAAGAAACAAATATTGCCTTTTAAGAGAATGTAAAGTGCACACACATATATGTAATTTTACATACATGTATAAACAGTACTTGTACCATACTCACCTAGATCATATAAAAATATATCTTATAAATGTTACTGGAAAGATCCAAGGGAACAGGTTTATGGCCTTTGGATATAAATATTGTAAATAAATGCTGTAGTGTATAGTTCAACTATAATTATAAAACTACAAATTCTGTAGAGATGCTATGAAGTATATTGTGTCATAACTAGAAAATTCAAAGCAAATACATAGAACACTGATGTACTCAAAAGTTCTACCACTCTTAAAATCTTAAAAATCTTAAAATGAAGTCTAAATTTTAAGTTATTTAAATACTGTGTTAAGTGGCTATATATGAACATTCAATACTCATGCTTTTTAATCTCTAGTTTAATATATAAGTCTTTTCAGTTGTAGGTTCAATACAAAAGTCATCTGTAGGTTTGATCCACAATGAAGGAAGAAAACAAATAAACATGGATTATCCTTTAGTAAGACTGACAATCCTTCAGTCCACAGTGGGCAACTATCTATGTCTACAGATTGAAGTTGGACATCATAGCAATTATCTTGCACATTTTGGAGACATGTGACTGGGGAAAAAGGGAGAAATACTATCCTTCTGAATTTTTCTGATATTAGCTTACATATAATTCTTTGTTCTTACTATAACCCGATGGGTAGGTACCATTCACCAAGATGTTGCCTTAATGTGTCTAAGTGTGGTGAACCTAGAGAGAAATAAAAGCATTTTTTTTCTATCACAAAGATAGCATCATCCACACATGGGCCATTGGATTTCCTTTTGTAGTTGTATACCCTATTTTCCAATTGCTGAATATTATCCTGGTTTTTTCATTATATTATATCATGTTATATATTATTATATTATGCTAAATTATATCATTCTATATTATCTTGTCACATTACAGATTGTGTCATATCCTAACAACATCATTTCATATTGTATATGCCTCTTATTTCTGTGATCTGATTACAAGTAAAATCATGTTTATGATTTGAAGATCTGGTGTCTTTTATTATTACATTCTGCCTTCATATTTCCAACCGTGTACTATAAAACTTTGAGCAAAGTTACCAGACACACTCAGGAAATATCTGATGGGTTAAATATTTCAGAAATTAGAATAAATATAAACTATTTGAGTCACTGGATAGTTTAATCAGCTGGAGTTACTCCCCTTACAATGTGTACACACTTCAAAACATTGTGTGGTCCACAATAAAAAAACACAATTTTATCTGTCAATATAAAAAGTAAAGACAAAAATAATATATAAAGACAAAGAACATATCCAAATAAGTGCTGTCTTTAATACTATCTTCCTTCCCTCTCTCACATGTTTGATAATTCCCTTCATCTTTGAATTCTCTCTCTCTCTCTCTCCTTTCTTTATTTTTCTTTGGCAGTACTGGGGTTTGAATTCAAGATTTCATGCTTGTTAGGCAGGCACTTTAACACTTGAGCAACTCCACCACCCTTTTTTGTGTTGGATATTTTTGAGATAAGGTCTGGTGAACTATTTGTCTAGGTAGGCTTCCAACAGTAATCATTCTGACCTCTGCCTCCTAAGTAGGTAAAATTAATTATGTCCATCACAATTAGTCACCACATCATTTTAATAATCTGTGTATTAAAGTTTTTGTATCTCAACCTTCTCATTTCCACTGTTAACTCCCAAACTCCAGATCCATGTGTCTGTCTGCCATGCCATTAGTGGCTCTTGACTTCATTTACTATTAGATGTGCTACAAAACTTCAATCCATGTAACATGAGAATGTAAAATCAATTTTCTAAATAACCATCCTAATGACATTGCTTCCCAGAGAGGGAATTCAGGATCTTTATTCTATATTCCATATGGCATCAGTCTTAGATTTTTCAGTCTTTTCCTGAGGATCCTGAATTATCCAACATACTGAGGGAATGCAACTAAAGGCCATATTCACAAACACTATATTAAAGTCCAGTGTTTCAAATTGGGATATAGATACTCGGTTCCATACACAGTGCCCCCCTCATTTGGGGCATGTGTTGTTTTTAGTCTACTTCATAGCAACTTTCATCCCAACAGTTAATGAATACCACCCATTCCAGAATGAATGAATGCATAATCAGAAAGAACAACAATTTTGCAAACACCTAACAGTTAAATTATCCTTTGTTTTCACTTCTATTGGTGATTATATAGTATTGGACTATGAAATTGGTTATATGATCAGAATTATTAATCCAAACCTGGCCTTACCACTTTTATTAACTGCAACTCTAAACAAGTCCCTTAATCTTTTGAAATACCAGTATTTTTTCTCTAAAAAGTGGGTTAGAAGAATAGCTGAGTCTAGGATTATCAGAGGTATCAAGTAATGTATATCACTTAATAAAAAACCTGGAATTCACCAAAAATTTGGTATCAAATTTGGTATATATTTTATAAAGGCTAGAAAGGATTAGAACAAATTGTGAGCTTAAGCTAACATTATAGTCAATAAGTAACACACTTGAAAGCCTGCATAATACTTTTAATTTTACAATTCCTCTGTTTTCCCGAATTGCCAAATCCAAATCATTATTCTTTTAACTTTTCATAGCAATTGATTCATGCTTATCTTTTCTCCTCAGCAGTAGAATACTTGATTTTAACCTCATTTGTTCATGTACTTTTAAGTTCAATGACTAAATTTAAGGTAGTTCTGGTATCTGTACATGTTTATCACATTTGTATCACTAATATTTTTCATGAAAATGTTTATTTATTCCAAAGGGAGAAATGGAAATTATTTCCTAAAAATATACCCAATTCTTCTTAATTCTTATGGGTCCTAAGTACTCATATCTGCTTACTAATTGAACATTTTAACTGTGTCTCATAAAATAAGAAGTATAACACACCAAACTCTTCATAGATTCAAGAAGTGCACCTAAAATAACTATGAAACAGGAACAAATGAGTGTGTTCATAGGTGTGTGTCTGTCTGTCGGTCTGTCTGTCCCATACTGCTTTGGATCAGTGGACATTATCTTAGAATGTTTGAGTTTAAGTTTATGTAAATGGACTAGTTGAAGAAACAGTGTAGCATTTGTCCCACCTCTTATGCTAAGTTATAAATCAATCTCTATAGTGTTAGTAAGATAGTTGTTCCAAGATAAATGGATTATTTGTGAATAAAATCTCCAGATTCCTCTTTCTATGTGCCAGGCAGAATGTAAACACATTTTTAAGAAACCTCATAATTTGGTCTCTGACTACTTCTCTATTTTTATCACTTGACCCTGGAGCCCTAACACAACATAGCCCTTCAGTCAGCTACTGAATGACTCATCGTTAGTAACTCATCTCCTTTCATTGCATGGTGCCTTTGTTACAGATGTCACATTTTTTTTACTATTCATTTATTCACATGTGTATACATTGTTTGGGCCATTCCCCCCCTACACCCTGTCCCTTCCTTCTCCCCCGCACTCTCCTTGCTTCTAGGCAGAAACTGTTCTGCCCTTATCTCCAATTTTTTGAAGAGAAAATATAAGGAATAATAAGAAAGGCAAAGCGTTTTTGCTAGTTGAGATAAGGATAGCTATACAGAGAGATTTCTAGCATTGCTTTGATTCTGTAAGTCCTTTTTTTCTGCTTCACTGGATCTGTTTCTACTTGCTTACTTTGGTCCAATTCAACTGTTAACACTTGTTTGAATTTTTCTTCAGGAACTCTGAGCAGAATTCAATTTTGTGTTTCTGAGTTTTTGATTTGCACTTCTATGGTTGCCTTTATCTTTTGAAGTCTAACATATGGTAAGGACCAGGTGCCTTATGTTTCGCAACTTCAGATCCATAAGATCTAGAAAAATGTATGGCATCTACAAGAAACCCATTATATACAGTAGGTCCTGTTGTTTCCAGTTCCAAGAAGAACAGCACAGAGGAAAAGTCATGAATCTCAGGATGCAAAAAAGTTCTTCCCCATGATGCTGCGTAACTTCTGCTAAAGACAGGCCACCATTCAAAAAATTTA